TTCTTAAACCATTTTTCTTGTCATTTTAACACCAAAACTTATCGAAATTGATATTTTTCAGCATATTCTTAGTTAAAAACAGTTTTGTTCCTGAAAATACAGTTTTCTCGGTTGTAACCCCTCTTTTCGCAGTTTTTACAATTTTGGCCCAAATCGGAAATTTTTGCAACTTTGGTCCTTTTAAATTTTGAAAAGCATTTTAAACCTTAGAAAAGGACTTGGAACACTAGTAGTCCACTATTTTACAGAAAAACACAGTTTTAGCCCTTCAAAACAGAAAATTTCGCATATTGGGCCCTATTGGGCCGAAATTGTCATTTTTAGCCCATTAAGCTTGAAATTTATATTTTTAATCCTCCAAATGAGTATATTTCCAGAAAATATTTTATTGAAACTGTTTTGACTCCTCTCATCCATCATAATCCGTAATATGTCATTTTGGGCCCTTTAACTTTATATTTTTAACATTTTGTGTCCAAAAATTGAGTTTTTAGCCCAAAGAAGATGTTATTAAGCCACTTAGCTATTTTTCTTGAAATACTTTGTATGTAGAAATATAATTTATGCTAGTATCATTTATCATAAAGTATATCTAGATTTTTAGGGGCTTATGACTAGATCCAACTTCATGATCACACAAAAACACACATATAAGCATAGAAATCATACAAAGCATACAAATACATATAGATCTACACATTTGCTTGTATTCCCCCCCCCCCCATAAAACTTATAAAACAGAAAAATAGGGAGTATGAAGCTCACCTTAGGGTGTAGTTTCGGTTTTTGAAAAAAGATGGAATAAAACTTGGTGATTTTTGGCCTTAGCACCCTTTTCTTGAAGATCTCGAGTTTAAGGTGATTCTAGGATGCAAGATCATGATTTTTGCATGGATTAGGAAGAGATTTTTGATAAAAAAAATAATCTAAGTCATAGATCCAAGCATAACCTTACCTTAGATGAAGAGTTTGTGGAAATATCCTCTTGAAAACCTCCTAATTTTCGAGATTTTTGAATGGAGAGGAAGGATGATTTCTTGAGTAATCTAGAGAGAGTTTGTGAGGTGTGTGTGTGTGTGTTTGAAAATGGCTGAGAGCAAGAGAGAGAGAGGGAGAAATAGACCTTGAGGTGATATGCATGGAAACATGGGATAGGTTGCATGGAGAACCAAGAGATAATAATGAGGTGTCAATTGCAAGTCAACCCTCTTCCATGTTGGGTTGTTGGGCGATATTTTGAAAGAAAAGAGAGTATTGGGCTGTAATGCCCCTAAGCCCAATATTAGAGTTAGGTTGGATGATTTTTGACCCGAAAAAAATATAATATAATTTTTACACTTTGTTGGGCTAGTTTAGTTAATCATGGTTTAAAACTTTTAATTTATTTCATTCTAGGCTCAATATGGCCCAAATTGTTGAAATGAATGAATGTGGGTCCAATTAGAGCCCATTTAAGGGTTCTAAGCCTATGATAGTCAAAT